CATCATCGTAAGCTTCATGAGTAAGTGTTAGTAAGACAGTAAACGGAACTATAGATAACCGTCAATATCATATGACAAGGGAGCGGAGTTCCGATACTGAATGGAGTACCGAATGGATACCGAGTGGAATGCCAAATGGAACTCAGTATAATCAACTATCTAAAAGAATGTAATCTATGTATAGTAGCATAGCAGAACATAAGATAAGTCCTTATCAGGAGAACCTGATTATATAACATATGAAATAGTAGAAGTTCAACATATACTGGGCTGGATACGCCCTCTAATGTATCATTCCTTCCTCTGCTCTCCCATGTGCCTAACAGGTCCCTCAGCAGTTCCCTCAAAGGTTCGTTCCCTGCCTTTACAGCCACTCCAATTCACTCCTTTCAACAACTCCTTCAACAGGAACTGGAGCTGCTGCCAGGCACCATATCAAGAACAAGATGGAGCTACGCCAGGACCCGGGCACATTGCCATATTGGGTTCTCATTCATGTTCGGGGATGCTGACACAATCACTCATATTATCTATGCATTGTGACCATCCTCCGGGAGCAATAATGGCTCTCCTAGTTTACGAACATACCATAGGCAACATAATAAAGTATCTGACCATTCACCGCCATGCGCCAGCTCTACCCGTGGCACTCGCCAATCGCCACCCAATCGCCACCCCCTCCAAGCGCTAGGTGGCAAGCTGGCGCTCATTTGCCAACAACACTGTGCGATACACGATCGCAAGGTGAACCTCCACATGATTCACTGAGATGATTTGTAGCCTGGAGCTGATGTTATGTAGAGTCTTTGAGAATCCCGCGAGGCAATTTCCGCCTTGTCACGATCCAAGAGATCCAGCCGCTTTTATACATACACTTATATACACCAGACCTCCTCATAACATAGTATCGCACTTGTAAGCTGGACAACGATTCGCTCATGCACCAACGGCGACACCCTTGCCCTGCAGGGCCTTGAGGTAATCGACCCGATAGGGGTTAACATCTGTCTCTGAGCCACGGTTGTATGCGATCCACTTAGGCTCGTCCTGCACATCATAAGTCAACTCCAAGGAAAGAATTTTGCAAGCATGACCACGTACCTTGAAGAGACGAATGGTGCGGGACTTCATGCCCATGTCGAGGCCGAAACGGTGATAGATGCCAGCGGGAAGGACGAGCATATCACCGGAGCCAACATGAAGGCGAACCCAGTCGTCAGTGGGGGCCTCTGAGCAGACCGATGCGTGAGCATTGGACGGAGGAAAGGGCAGACGGACGCAACTCACCCCGGACGTCGAAGTAGCCGCCGCCCTCGATGATGTACCTGATCTCCTCGTCCTCATGCATGTGTCTTCCCGCCGCTCATCAACGTCCATTCCATTGCGCACAACGAGCCCGGTACGCACTCGGAGTAGAACTTCTTCAAGTTCGTCTCAAACTGCTCGCCCATGCCCTCCTTCGTGACCAGGCAGACATCGCGGTTCTTGTAGTGGCGCTCCTCAGCGATGGCGTCGACCTGGCTCTGCCACTTGCCCTCGGCGTCGACGGGGATGTGCCATCGGAGGACACCGAGCGTGTCGAGGGTCTCATCCGAGACGGCGCGTCCGCTGTCGTGCGGCAGGCGCTGGTCGGTCGGGTCGTTGTCCATATAGTATGCGCGCATCTTCGTTCTTGCTTGGCTATATGCGTTCGCTGGGGGTCAGATAGGCAGGTAAGTGGGTCCACCGTGCCAGGGTGATGGGGTTATATAGCAGGGAGTCGTCGCGGATGTCTCATGACGAGGGATGGCAGCTCGCCCATTGCTCGCCTTCTTCCTCTCACCCTACTCCGACCGACCTCCACGGCCGCCTACGGAGCTTGTCCACGCGCAACAGCACTCGGAGGCTCGCCAATGGTACGGAAGCCTACCGAGGGTCATGCTTCAGCGATGCCGGTGAGTACACCGCGCGGCATTCCCAAGCCTAACTAAAGCCACGGCGGAACTGAACTTTATTCCAACTAACAGGTCTCTGTCGGGACAACGGCGCTCCGTGCGCGCGCAAACAGCACACAAATAATTAGCCGCAATATCAGCACCTCCGGAGGATGGTTCGAGGGCACGCTTGATGTTCAATGTCATTTGGTACGTGCGATAAATCATCCGTAGTATTGTTTTTAGCTCACTCCATACTCAGGACCCAGCAAATGACGCAGGACTCGCGACTTTGTGGAAGCTAGAAGCATAATTGTGGGCCACGCGGACAGGCTTTGTAAGTTTCCAAACGTATCTGGTATCGTCATGGCTGCGAAGAATCCAGGCTGCTCGTCCACAGGCATCGTCAGGCTACAACCACTGCAGCCGCCAGGGCCCATGGCCCGGAGCAGGAAGTCACTGGATGCCCGCTCGAGCGATGTTGCACAGGGCGAAGGATCCTGGGCCTTCGCGCGGGTTGATAATGCAGGCCAGTATCACAGACATACCGAAGCAGTGCTGTCTTCCTTCCCTTAGATTGGCTCGCATTGCACTGTGCTATCATGGTGGTGAAATGGGTATACTGAGATACGCCGCGATCGAGTTCTTTTCACCCCGACCTACCCAAACCCAGTCTCTAAGGAATCCTCCACATCGCGATCCCAGAACGCTCCTCATCCACCTTGCTCTTTACTTCCTTGCTCTCACCGCTCCGAATAGCAGCGGCGATGAGGAGCGCCACCGCATCCCGTACCGCATTCCGTTGCTTCTCCGTGCCATCCTCCGACTTTTCGCCTTGCTCGTCTTCGCGGACTTCCACCCGCGTCCAGTCGACACATAGGTCGACGTACTCAAAGAGCATACCGACCATCCCCGCGTACGTCTCCACCACCGCCTCGTCATTCTCCGCACCTCGCACGTCCGATGTTTCCAATACCCCCGTGTCCGCATTGTCCGGAGGAAGTTGTACACTCCACAGTTGTTCCAGCGTGCGTCCGACCCACCCAACGAGCGGAGCTCCCACTGGGTACTCCCGTTAGCATATTCATATCTAAGCCTGATGAAACGGACAGCGTGGGCGCATACCTCGTGCAGGCAGGACAACCGCAGGGCACCCGTTCAGCAGCGTGTAGTTGATCACACTCTCGCCCGGGCGCTGGCTCGTTGTCCACAGCTTTCGGTGCGGCCCAAGCCCGACGACGAGTAGCACGATCCGGCGCGGCTTCGGTGGCGCAGGGAGCGGCGTGAGTGTGGGCTCTGGCGAGGGCGTGCGCGAGCGCTGCACCATGTGCGAGAGGCTCGGCAGGGAGAGCATGCTGAGCTTCGAGCTCGCGCTGGCCTCTGTGGGTGCCTCTGGAGGTGCCTCTGGAGAGGATGTCGGGGAATCGGCGAAGCTTATCACGGCCGCGGATTCGGCGAGAAGGGTCTCGCCGACGCGGTAGTCACCTGTGATGGTCAGTATGGCACCCAGACGGAATGCGAAAAACGTACCGGAGAGAAAGGGCCCATGACAGAAGACTACATCGGGCTTCATCTATTGATTGATGAGCTGGCTGGCAACAGTACCGTAACACTGCTATGGGCCTTACCGTGCGAGGGATGATCGGTCTACGGCCGCTTGCGAACAGGTACGGCGAGAACCAACCCTTCTCTACAGCGAGGTAGTCTTTGACCGCCGCGAACAGCGACGTATCCCTGCGACGGTGCACATCAGCCAGTGATCCGCAACGTGCCCGCGATGCACACACCGATGCATCGAGCTCCGAAAGAATCCTAGCGCGGCGTCCTCGACGACGTGCTTGTACTTGAGCGTGATCAGCAGCATCTTCACGCCCGTCGTCTGCAGGCGAGCGGAATGGATTGGGATGAGTAGATTCGAGGTCTTGTCGAAGACGAGGTCGTTCGCGACCTTCGTCGTGAGTTCAAAGCCGACGTGCGTGCCGAGCTCGACAACGAGCGAGTCCCCGAGCGTGCCCACGATGATGTCCGAGACGGGGCCCATGGCGGGCGCGGCTACGGCGGCCATGCCTCCCTGCACCAAAGAGGCTCAGTCGTTGGGAATTCGGGGTAATTTGGACCTTACTGTTGCGGCGATGACGGTGTGTACTGCGAGGTCACGGAAGCGGATACATGGGAGCAGTAAGGGCGATGAGTCCCCCCACTAAGGATGAACGACAGTCAGCAATAGGCTGGGTATGGGAAGCATTGGATAGCAGGCTGTTGGTCAATGGGCGCTGGCCATTTAGATAACACATCAAGGCCGCCCACGCGTTGAATGCATTCCAAGGTATTATTGACCATGCCCTCAAGAGCACGTAGGCGGACCAACTGATCGCTGACCACGATCTGCGTAGCTCACCGGGGACAAACACGAGACACTTGTGCCCGTGCTCCGCAGGGTCTCGTAGCTTGACATCACGATGCGCCCCGTCATAGTCTGTAAGGGTGGGTCTATTAGTTACTGCCGTTGCGACGATAGCATATTTAGGTACTCACGCCCACAAGTTTCCTAACTATCCAGGGTGCTGCCTTATCTTCCTCCCTCCCACCAAGTGAATCCGGGTCGATAGGCCCCAAGGCAGACGCTTGAGGCATGTTAGCACTTCCAGTTGTAGTGCGGTATAGCTAGTAGCACTAGTCTCTGTCGTTGCGAGAGACCGTACTATCGCAGATCAGATCTTCCCATCACGCCTCAGGCTATGGACAGGCTATCAAAGTACGCAGCAGTGAATGTCTAGTGACACGGCATGGTGCAGAGCCGCAGCGTCGGTAAGCAGTAATACTTGCGTCAGTGGAAAGTGTGGTGATGCGAAGAGCAACTTGAAGCCGAGCAACCACTCCAGCGCGGCGCGATTACGTTGAAAATGGCACAAAATGCGTGTGCATCGCAGCTCAGCATAGTGATACCCACTGAGCATGAGGTGCATCAGAATAAAAGATTAAACAAGACTGCCCGTAGGATAAACATAAGGTTCGAATCCTGCAATCACAAAGCTTGCCATGTGCGCCTACAGTCATCCACAAACGTAACAACGTGATAGAAAAGAACGACATCAGCAAGACTTGAACTTGCGCCCGCAATGCGGAACAGATAATATCGACTTAATTCGAATCTGTCGCCTTAACCACTCGGCCATGGTGTCATGTAAGGCAACCACAATAGGTAATATACAGTGTGACCACCTCTTTCATAGAGAATGATAGCCGTACGAACATTGAGCTGAGTCTTCCAGCCAAACGCACATCGATAGACGTTTCGCCCTCGCGCGATTTTATGTTTCTGGCCGAGGTGCCGCGCTGCCGCGCCACAGCAACCACCACGAGCGAAACGTCTATCGATGTGCGTTTGGTTGTCAAGTTTTGAGTCTTCGAGCTTGCTTCGATGCTGGAGTCCTGTGATTCGCAGTGAAATGATATAATTGACACAACCTGAGGGTCCCTTATCGTGTCACCTTGTACACATCATGCGGCAGTCACTAAGTCACTAGTAGTATGCTCAAAGCCTAAGCTACGCCAACACGTAGTCCTTTCATCCCCCGCCGAGCGTGTCCTATCACACTGCCGTCGAGTTCATCGCATTTCAAGTTCATCGTCGGCTGTGTGAGACTGACTCCTCGGAGGCTAGCTTCCCCGTGACAATATCCGAAAGTGGTAAGACCTGAGGATACTTTGACGGTTTTGCATGGTCGATTCGACGGCGCCACGGTTTGTAAAGCAGGACGCCAAGGGTCCCGAACACAATAACCGAGCCATAGATCGACCCGCCTATCCGCTTAGAGCTCAGCATATGCCTATAACTGAGTGCTCATCACTTACCGATGATCTTGTAGCAATCCCCCACCGTCTGGACTCCATCCCAGAACCTCCCCCGCGGGCCCGCGACGTTGAGTACCATCGTGAGCAGTTGGATGATCCCGATCACGAGCGCGACCACGACGGTGAGAACGGTGAGAACGACGCTGTAGTATAGTACGGCGATCTGGTCGCGCGCGAGCGCGGTGGAGCTGTAGAGGCTCATCAAGAGCGCGCCGTCCGCGGTGTCGAGGAGGCACATGCCCGCGGGTGAATAGGAGCGGAATGAGAAGGATAATCCAGAAAGAGGTGCCCTGCGCGGCTTGGATGGATGAGATCCCGAGCAGTGCGATCTCGGAGGAGGTGTCGAAGCCGAGTCCGAAGAGTAGCCCGAGCGGGTACATCTTCCATGGACTTTTTGGACATGATCAGCAGATACTACGGGTGCAGGGGCGTTGTACGTACCGGTCGATCATGCGGAAGAGAGCTTTAGATTATGATAGGCTGAACAAGCACCCACCACCGTAGAATTATAGACCCGTGTCTTCTTTGTCGTCCGAGGCGATTGCGCGTTGGAGCTGGCGGATGAGCTTGTGCAGAATGTAGATGTTCATGATGCCCAATATGATGAGGAACGCCGCGGAGACGGAGGACCCAATGATGCCACCGACGCGCGAGAAGGCGTCGAACTTGTTGGACACGGCCGCAGCAGTGCCAGCAACGACCAACGATGTTACGATTACGATACTGAGTAGGCCATTAGTGCCGCGCCACCCAATCCGGGAAGAGTACATCATTACTTACGTTGAATGCCCTAACGAGAAGAACATCCCGACCGTCACCGGCCTCTGACCAGAGGCAATAAGGCGGCGCGTCATCAAGTCAATCGCCTGTACGACAGTTAGTATGTTCCATTCGCCCAAGCAGTGCACTGACTGACAGATATGTGGTCGGCATCGAGTGCGTGTCGTAGTCCCAACGTGTAGGACAGTACGGAGGTTGATATAAGTGCCCTGTTGAAGTAAAGAATGCCGTTAGCATGAATCGAAGTCTGCTATTTTTGCAGTTACACGGTACCTACGGATGAAAGTGCTGATGCATAGTGAGAATGAAGATCATCACTGTAAGGGATCTTCACGCTCGCAAGGATAAGCAGGACTGAGTCTATAGGACCGAGTGTGCTAGGTACAAGCGAGGAGGTAAAAGATGCCTATTACAAACGGAACCGCGCACCCATTGCCCACCGCTTCGGCACTTGCCGGTGCATTGTGGCGCAATAGGCGCTTCCTCGCGTCTACCTGACACCCTCCCCCTCTGGAAACAACGTCGTACTTGAGGATGGCGCGATGTTGACGCCTTTTTGGTTGCAAGTTGAGGAGAAAGCATGGCTTGTGACCACCAACTTGAATGAGTGTGAAGTCGCCTCGGAGATGGTGTCCCGAGGTGACGAAGCAGTAAGAGTAGATAAGGGAAATATTGAAATAGGGAAAAACGGCGGACATTGGTGTTGGTGCAGCGCATAGGGAAGGCGGGGCCTGAGTCGACTGCTTTTTGTGGGTCGACGTGGTGTCGAGCGAGAGAGACACTACAGGCCACTCGCGAACGGTAAAGGATCGTCCGCGACAGGGTCGGCCATAACTGTGTCCTCCGTGTCGACAGCCTGAGTCCCTGTCTCAGCTGAGGCAGGGGGCACGTCGTCGGCATCATCGTCGTCATCATCGTCGGCGATAGCTGCCTGTGCAGTCGGTTCAGTGGCTGGGGCTGGACAAGCCTCTAAGAACGATTGGGCCCAGTCCATCAGGAACTCGGGGATCATCCCCGCCGTAATCCCTCCTTGCGCACAGTGAGTGGCAAGGTTCTGCACCGTGAAGTCCAAGCGATCGCGATGGTCGGTCGCCTCGAGTCCGTCCGTCGCCACGGCCGTCAGCGCCGTTACCTTGAGTTCCGGCGAAGGTTCAAGTTTGAGAGCTGCAAGCATCTGGGGGTATACTTGCGGCTGCACGAACAGGCAGGCAAGAGCAAGCTGCCCCTCGCGGCGTAGGTAGTTCCGACGCGGTCCGTGGCCAACAATGGTCACGGTCAGGAGATGGCCTCGTAGAAGATTGGCATTGATCTTGCCATCCAGGTCGCGGTGGACGCCGATAGGTAATGGGGCGCGGCCATGAGCGTCGTAGTGCGCGATCCAGAGATCAAGGGGATCATCGAGGGTTGGCTGCGGAACGTTAGGCGGTGGGGCTTCATGCATGTTGGAGGGCTGAGCGGTCTTCTCGCGGAGCCAATGCGGGATGCGCCACTGGGTAAGGAGGTAGGATTGAGTCGGGTTGATACTGTGATCGCGTGCGGCCTGGTTAGCAAGGTGGACCCAGTGACGGGCCTGACGGACGGCAGCCGCACCGACTGGGTCGTCGGTCGCCGCAGCCGTGCACATACGATCAACTTCATTGATCGATGTAGGTTTGTCTGAGAGGTCCAATTCGTCGCCATCATGGGTCTGCGCGTGCATCGCGGTGTGTGTAGTCGGCGTATGGGGGCGGTCATACTCGTGGGGATATGGTCGGCCTCCTCGTCCATGGTTGGGTCCTCCCCCTCTGAAGCCGCGTCCGTACCCGGCACGACCAGCAGCGATGCCACGCGTCAGCAGCGCTGAGGGGCGGCGAAGGTCAGCCTCGAGCTCGCGAATACGAGCTTCCGCGAGCTTGAGCCTGCCATCCAACGTGACAGCCTCCTGCGCGGAGTGCTTCCAGCCTCCTGCGCGGAGTGCTTCCAGCCTTCGAGGTAGCCTTCACGACGTGCCGTCTTTGTCAACGTGTCCGCCTGGTCCTCACGGGCCAGGAGGTACACGTATGTGTCCATAGCAGGGCTAACGTGTGCGCTGAAAGCCATACACTCGCGGCAGCAACCACGGTTGTGCAAAACACAGCCATACTCAGCCACGAACATCCAGGGGCCTCGCTGAGCGGGCGGCACATCCATCGCGGATGCTGTGTCCGAGCGGGGGCGTCGAACCCCAGCATGTACAACTGGTCCACTTGGTACACTCGGAGGCAACCCGTGTGCGCCTTGAGCGGTGGGGGTGTATTGTGGCATAGCGAGAATGGGGATCTCAGCAGTGGGAGAAGTGGGCAAGAGGGAAGTGTCGACCAGAAGTCGAGAACTTCCCCATAATATAGCAAGAGCGGGATAGGGGCCAGCCAGGTACCTTAATAAAGCTCGATGATAATCACACCGATCACCATCATCGGCGGGATGGAGAGCCCGTCGGGTGTTCATTTCGGGGCAGCTTGCGCCAGCTCGCTACTCCGTGTAATTCGAGGTAGCGGTCCAGTGCCGCGAGATCTTTGGTGTTATCATAGTTCTCCCAGAAGATGTCGCCGTCCTTGAATCGCACGTAAAATTCGATGGATCGGCCGACCCACCGATGGGCGATTATTTCGTCTACCTCGTATTCTTCCTCCTGGTCAAGCCCAAAGTCGTAGAAGACCCGGGCTTCCCGGCCAGGGAACATCGTCGCATCGTTTGGTTCGTGAGGCCGAAGACGGGTGATGTGGAAAGTTGGATGGATGCGTCGTCGGCGCAGCTCATCGGGGAGCTCAATCATGTAGCCTGAGGTTCCAGGATTAGCCTGTATGACCTTGTATGGACCTATAAAACGAGGCATGAGTTTGCGAGCACGGCCCTTAGGCAGTGAGAGGTTCTCTGTGCTGAGATAGACGAGCTTCCCTACAGAGAATTGATCTTCGTAGAGAGGCCGCTCGTCTCGCCGGCCTTGATTGGCGTAGTATGTCTGAGCAATGCGGCTCGCGATGATTGAATCGTGAGCCACCAATAAACTGTCAATTGCCTTCTCAGCGAAGGCCTTTACTCCAGGCATGGCCGCCTCGTGAGCGAGCTCGGGCACCATGCGTGGAGTAAATCCATGGTTGAGCTCGAAAGGTGTGAAGCCAGTTGTGCCACTGATGCTCGAGTTCATAGCGAACTCGACCATAGGAAGGCGCTCTACCCAGTCTGTCTGATCAGGTCGGACCACAGTCCGAAGAATCTGCGATACTGTTTGTATCGCGCGTTCACTAACACCGTCAGTCTGTGGATGAAACGCAGTGGACATAAGTAGCTTTCCTCCAGCAAGCCTGTGCAGTTCGCGCCAAAATTTCGACGTGAACTTCGGGTCCCGATCAGACACTATCGAAGCCGGAACACCATGCAATCGTACAATCTCGCGAAGAAAAAGCCACGCGAGATCAGATGCGCGGATAGTTGTGCGCACAGGTACAAGGTGAACATACGCCGTTAACCGGCATATGATCACCCACATGTAGTCAAACCCGAGTGACTCCGGGAATGGACCAACAAA